GGAGCCTATCCCAGCATCTAGCTCTACACATGATAATACCAAAATGTTGTAAAATGAATGATACAACAAATAAAGAAAGATAAAAAATGAATAAACTATGACAAAGAACAAACAGTTTCAGTGTTAACTGTATAACTGTAATTTATGAATCGAAAACACCTCGTCTTTTAAGAAAATGAGGTTTCTGTGACAAAATTTGGTCTGTACCAAAACGTATTGAGGTCAACTATGAAGCATTAAAAGAGACAATAAATCTACTGGAAAAAGTCATTGATTGGTTTTTATAGATAAATAACTTCTTCACAAAAACATTTTTAAACTCCTAAGAAAATGTCACCTCAGACAAAATGAATTCCTCAGATTTGTTTGGTACCTGACGAAGTAACCGGTGCACAGATACTGTTTATGTATCATCTGGCACATCTATTGATGATCATTGATTAGCGCACATTGGGTCAGTGTGGTGTGTTAGCTAACCTGGAGTCGTCGTCCTCCCTCAGGTCAGGACAGTATCCTGGAGCCGCTGTGTTTTCCGGAGCAGCCGGCCGACGGCTCCAGTGTTCCCAGTCTGCAGCATCCCAGTGCCGAGCCGCTGGTGTGTCTCTTCTGCTCCGAGTCCGTCCCCCTCCTGCAGAAAGACGTCCTCCTCAAACACCTGCTGCTGGAGCATAAGATGGTCATCGCCGACGTCAAACTGATCGCAGACCTCCCGAAGTAAGAACCCTGCTCTCAGTCGTCAGCTGCTCTGCTATTTACTGCACATACATGTGTATTCTCCACATCATGTAACTGTTTCCACAGACTCAGTGGGAGTAAACTGTTTCTTTTATGCGTCTGTCCTTCACCGTGCTGACGCTGACCTGCTGCTCTTGTGCACACCTGTTCTCCATCAGGTACATGTTGTACTGGAAAGGCAGATTCCTGGAGCAGCCGGTCACAGATTTCTGCAGCGTGATCAAAACTAACTCCACCGGCCCGATCGGTGAGTCTCTGTATGAAAAGAAGAACATACGGAAACAATTACTGATTTGATTTTACAGAAATCATGATTCATCTTCTCTTGAAATCTCATTCATTTTTGAGAGCATCATATTATCAGAGCTGATAATAAAACCTAACTTGTAGTGAATCTGTAATTCTCCTTGAAGTTAAGACCTGTCTCTGTACTAAGAAACTAAGAAACTCAGTACTGAAAAGCTTTTCCTGCATCTATTATCTGTATGATGTGAATTCAACAGTTGCTTGAAATTCTCATTTTACATACATCTGCTCAGGCTAATGGAAATCTTGTCTTCAGAAACCTCTCCTATAACAATGTGTTCTTGCAGAGAAACAAGAGGACTACTTCCTGCTGTGTGACGTCCTCCCTGAGGACCGAGTCCTCCGAGAGAAGCTGCAGCAGAAACGACTGGTGAGTCCAGATCCTGCATCAGACTCCATTTCTGTCTATTTTCTGTCCTGAGTCAAAAACTAAAATACTCCCTGCACCCACAAAAAGCATGAACTAGTTTTTTTAACTGAATATAAAGGAACCCCTCTGGTGAAATGGAAGCTCTTGTTTGTCACACAGGAGGAGGTGTTGTTCTTCTTCTTCTGTGGTGTTTTTCTAACGGCTCTGGTCTTCCACAGGAGGAGGTTCTGGAGCAGCAGCAGAAGGAGAGAGACGACAGCAGCTTCCATCGTCTGTGCATGTTCTGCAGTGAGGAGTTCAGTGGAAACAGGTAAATCACCTGTCACGTGTTCACATCAGCTGGTTCGACTTGAATTAAACTTCCTGTAACGTATGAAGGTGCAACAGTTAGAAAACCTGTCAGAACTCTCAGCTCCAAACCTGTTGGTTCCATGAATCTTTAACAACAAATATATAGTTTCACTTTATGATAAAACTCACGTCGTGTCTCAGGTCGTCGCTGCTGAACCACATGGCCAGAGAACACTCCTTCAGCATCGGCCTGCCCGACAACATCGTCTACTGCAACGACTTCCTGGACGCTCTGCAGAGCAAACTGGACAAGTGAGAACAGACAGTGATCATCAAGTTAAAACTAAAGTCATGTGCAAAAGTTAATTTTAGTGAAAGTTTCCTGAAAACTGGTGGATTATATTCAAACTGAGGAGTTTCAGTTGTGCGTTTTGTAATGAAAAGACAGATGACAGCGCAGACTCTTGATTAATGGTTCGGTTCGTTAAATATCAGAAATAATTTCCCACAGCTCAAAGTGACGTCTTCAAATGTCTTGTTTTATTTGACCAACAGAAAATATTCAGTTTGATGATGAACAACAAAGAAATTCATCAAATCCTCACGTTGGAGAAGCTGGAACAATTATATCATCAAAAAAGCTGCAGATGAAGTTTCAGCTGATTGACGTGTCGGTTAATTAACGAATGATTCCAGCTGTAGTTTCCAGTATGTCTGTTGAATATAATTGTTCTTTCTTGTGATTTGTAGTTGAGGTTGGATTTAATCACATTTGCTTTTTTTTGAAAATGTCCTGTCAGTCTTCAGTGTTTGTACTGTGAGAAGACGTTTCGAGATAAAACCACGCTGAAGGATCACATGAGGAAGAAAGCTCACCGCCGCATCAACGCCAACAACCACGCATACGACCGCTTCTACGTCATCAACTACCTGGTAAAAAACAAACTTCATACACTTTGACTTCTGAGATGTTTGAAGGCAGGATGCGAGTTGTTATTTTTTAAGAGACGCTCTAAAAAGTTTGATCGTTTGAAACATTTTCTCTCCGTGTGTCTGATCTTCAATCGTCGGTCTCCCGTCAGGAGCTGGGGAAAACCTGGGAGGAGGTGCAGAGCGAAGACGACCGAGAGCTGGTGGACGATGAGGACGAGTGAGTATCTCCAGCAGGAGCCGCACGGGTCAGAACACATCCAGCCTGGGTTTTACTGACTTCCTGTTTCCACCCGCCTGTTTCCGTCTCATTCACGTCGTGTCTGTGGACGATTAGACGACGTTGATCTAATTCTCTGTCTCTGTGTGGTCCACAGTGATTGGTCGGACTGGCAGGCTCATCCAGTGTCAGCGGTGTGTTTGTTCTGCGATCATCAGTCGGAGACGATGGAGCAGATCTACACACACATGAAGGTTCAACAAACAAACTGAATTTACAGGAATTAAAACTGATTCTAGGATTGTCTGAAAAGACTGCATCAATAAGTGGAGAATCTGAGAAAAACACAATGTTTAAGTGTAATTTTACCATGTTAGCATGAAGCGTTCACTCTAGAGGTGAATAAACTTTGGCCTGTTGGTGGTGCTGGATGAAAAAGTCAGAGAAACCGTGAGATTTGGTAACAGGACGTTAACTGTTGCTTCAGCTTTGGTTCAGACTCAAAGATCTCAACAACTCAAACGATTGTGATGAAATGTGGTTCAGACGTTCATGTTCACCTGAGGACGAACTGTATTAACTGTAATGATCCTGTTTCCTCCAGCGCCGCCATCAGGTCACATTTTACTGTCATGACCAGACACCTGCACCGTCCCAGCAGCCTCGGCTCTACTTAGTGTTCTAATTAGCAAATGTTAGCATGCTAAACTAGGATAGTGAACGTGGTAAACATTATACGTGCTTAGCATCTGCATGTTAGCATGCTGATATTAGCAGCCCTGCTAGCATGGCTGTAGCTTTGTTTACTTCACGAGTGGTAAGAATGCAAAGATGACAGTTTGTGGTCTGGGGTGTGACGAGGGAAACGTGTGCAGATGTTGAAGATGAGGAACTTTTTCTTGTCATTTTTTACATCTTTGCGTGTCTTGTGTTTTCAGGAAGCCCATGGCTTTGATCTCCACATGCTGAGGACAGAACTCAGTAAGTAAAACACACGACAAAACTAACTAGTTTCTAAAAGCTGCATCATCATCGATATCATCTTCACCCTCAGTGAAGCCCTGAAAACAAAGACGTATAGATTTAGTTTTGTCCTAAAAGAGAAACTGGACACAGGAAGGTTCAGTAGTCCTGGTTTTAATCTGGATAGAGACGTGCAGATTAAACCACCGACTGTTGAGGGTTTGAATGCGACTAAATGCTCATATAAACTCACAACCCTCTCTGGTGCGTCTCTCCTCAGACCTCAGGTTCTACCAGCAGGTCAAACTGGTGAACTTCATCCGGCGGCAGATCCACCAGAGCCGCTGCTACGGCTGCCAGGAGAAGTTCGACTCCAGAGCCGCCGTCCTGCGACACATCATGGCTGAAGGTCACGTGATGAAGCTGCCGGACGTGTCCACCTGGGACCAGCCGCAGTGAGTCCAACAGACAAGTAGTTCCCGAAACTCAGAACACAATTATCCCTGTAACACAATCTGTCGAGCAGAGAAACGCAGTGATTCCTGACCTCAGTCTCTCCTCAGGTATTACTTCCCCACGTATGAGAACGACGCCCTCCTGTGCACGCTGTCCGACAGCGACGAGGACGAGAGCGTCAAGACGAATCGCGGCGAGGACGTCCCTGTGATCGCAGAGGACATCTCCAACCTCAGAGCCCTGAAGCAGAGCAGCGTCCTCAACCAGCTGCTGAAGAGCAGAAGCTCCTGCAGCTAGGACCAGGGACGGTTGGACAGGTCTTCCTCTCCTCAGACTCGCTGTCCTCCGTGCAGCGGCCTGTGAAACGCATGGACTGCAGATCTTTCTGCAAACGACGAATAACACGACGCAGCCCCAACATGCACTTTAAAGCCGTCGGAGGCTTTTTCAGAGGCACAGACTCAGCTGCAGGTCCGATGTCGGTCAGCAGCTCCACTTTTACTTGCTACAAAATTCCATTCAAACAATAAAAGAGGGATTTAAAGATATGAATATTAAGTTTATTATGTAAAATAAAAATCATCATACTGAATGAAAGCACTTGTTTCTTTCTTTACGAAGTCGCTCAGTTAAAAACTCAAACCCTGAGCTGTGACACGTCACACAGAAGACGCTGACGTCCAGGAACTAACAGCATCGTCTAACTGTTATAAATATTATGCTGGAGCTTCAGTTGGTCGTCTGCTTGGCGGTCTTGTTGTTCTTCGCCGGGACGATGTTCTGCGTCGCTCTGCCGAGTGAAACCTGACGGATGGTGGAACCGAACTGCAGCGTGCTCAGTGTCTCCACCGCGTCCTTCACGTCCGGACTCACGTTCACAAACACGCAGCACTGCAGAGGAAACACACGGAAACACACCGTTACACGTGGTAACAGTGACACCAGGTGGTGTCAGAGACCTGATGAGCTGTGGGTGTCAGAGTTTACCTTGGCGTCTCCGCTGAGGCAGGGCTGCAGCAGGTGGGTGAGTTTAGAGTTCCTGAACGGGATGTGGAGGGCGTTACACTTCAGAGCGCTGAACACCTGAAGAAGAAACAACAGACACCTTTAACCTGACGACACTGATGGGGGCGCGGCACTAAACCCACAGATTTAAAGTTTAAAGTTGTTGGGACAGACGACGAATACCCTGAGAGAACCTTTCATCAGGTGTGTAAGGACTGAACCAGGTGAGTCCTCGGTGTGTCGTGTACCTGTCCCAGCGCCGTCAGTGATTTATTGATGGCCGCCGCCTCCACCAGCCTCTGACCCTCGGCTTCGGTCTTGGAGATCCGTTCAGATCCGGCGAGGTCGCACAACGTGAGCGTCCCGCGAGACGTCAGTCCCGACACCTCGTCTGAACCCTCCACCTCCAGCGCCACCACCAGGTGAGACCGAGAACTGAGGAGGAGGAACCACAGGTGTGAATGTGTTAAATAAAGAGAGGCGTGACTCGTGTGTGAGCAGCGACACTAAATGCTCAGAATCTAAGAAACCTCTGTATGTTCATCTTGGTCGAGGCGATCTTCCTGTTCTTCTCGCCCGTCTCCATGACGTTGAGGATGTCAGCCTCGGTCTGGACCTGGATCCGGGTCAGTCCTGGGACCGCCACCGACTTCCCCTGGACTCGGATGTCCAGAGCAGCGGCGCCGGGGCTTTTGGTCAGAAGGTCGTTCAGAGTGTCGTTATAAATCTCCAACATGGAAATCTGAAAAGAGTGGAAGTCAGCTGTGAATCAGCTGGAGAGTCAGCTGGAGAGTCAGCTGTGAATCAGCTGTGAATCAGCTGTTGAGTTCGCTCGGAGCTTCAGGTTGTTGCTGTGAGGCTCATGACGAAGTCGGACTTGAAAGACAATTTGAATTTGAATCGATTTACATTTGGACTTGGAACTTGACGACAGCAGGTCAGATATGATTTTTAAAACTTCAGGTCTTGTTTAAATACTGTGAAATCTTTTACTGATCTAAAATGTATTCAACCAGAATGAATGAAAATAAAGTGAACAGCAGTTAAACATCTGGTTTTCCACTGTCGTACCTTCAGAGTGTAGGAGACCTTCTCGTTCTCTGCACAGATACGAAGCAGCTCTCGTATAGACCTGAGAGAGAGACACACACACACACACACACACACACACACACACACACACACACACACACACACACACACACACACACACACACACATTAACTCTGTGAGCAGGCCTGAGGGAACAGGAGACGATGATGAGCAGATCTCCGTCTCCTCTGACAGGAAACCCGACCTCGCTGTGTAAACCTGATGCTTCACCTCGTCACGTATTGATGAGCCGTTGTCAGGTGACACGTCGCATAACGAGGCGCAATTAGTCTCGTTTGGCCCCTGACAGCGAATCGCGTCGCAGCGAGAGAACGGCTGCAGATGTGTTGAAGAGTCACACCTTAAATATTTAACTGGTCGTATCGAGGAGGCACAGAAACCCTCTGCAGCTGTAACAGATCAGCAGGTACTCCAACTGTGGGATGTGTGTGTGGGTGGCTTTCAACCACATTTCATGATCTTCTTCCCTGATAAATTTCATGATAAAAACTGTAGTTTGGTTCTTTATTTTTACATAGTTCCTGTCGGATCTTCCTGACCTGATGTTGACTCCTGGGTTCTCCTTGCTCCCCATCATGGTGTAGGTCTTCCCTGAGCCGGTCTGTCCGTAGGCCAGTATACAGACGTTGTATCCGTCCACACAGGAAGTGATCACCGGCAGAGTTCCTGCAAACACGTCCTCCTGCAGAGAAGAAGAAGAGGAAGCAGCTGTGAATCTGTTGGTTAGAAAGAAAAATGATTTTCATATTTGCGGTGCTCGACTTGATCCCTGTGGGACTCAACTCTTTAAAGATTAAATCAAAGATTATGAAACATGATGTCATTTTATTAAACAGCTGTTGAACAAACCAGTCTGTTGGAGGGCCGCTGCTCTCTGAAGGCCCAGAGCTCGTTAAGCTCTGCAGCTCATTAAGGCCAACAACCGGCCCTCCCTACAGGCAAATTAGCAGCATTGTTGTGTTATTAACAGTGTGCTGGGTCAGATTAACTGTAGTTTCTCTGCTTCCAGTGTTTGTGTTCAGATAAACGACATTTCAAATGTAAAGAGCTGAAACTAGAACTGGACGATGTGAATGAAATCAGAGTCAGAATATTTCCCAAAATCTGCAGAAATCAAAATTATAGAAAAACATAAAAGAAACTTCAGTTAAGAGAAGTGAACTGAGCTCCACCAGACAAACGCTTCTATATTAATGCTGTGAAAGTATCAAAGCCTCAGTCCACAGAGAAATGCACACAGCCTGTATTCAGAAACTGAGCCTTAAAACCAGCCGTCAGGACTTCTGGAACTTTGTGATGTCACAACAAAGCAGTCACCAAGCCCCGCCCACCTGGACCCACCATCCAAACCTTGCAGGATTTGATTTCTCTGAGTGTTTTTACCTGAAATCTGCTATATTTTTATTGGATCACTCAGAAAACAGTCAGCCAATCAGAAGAGAGGCTCAGAGCCTCCTCTCTTCTGATTGGCTCACCGACCTGTTGTTACTAGAGCTCCAGAGAGAAGCCTGAGAGAGGAGATGTAAAACTACACTGAGATGGTTTTTATATCTTCTGATGGATCAACACTTCAAATAAAACACAGAAGAAGAAGAAACATGGAGCTTTAAAGTCTTTCCTGTAAATGTGACTGATGAAGACTCCACTGGGTTTGTTACCTGTGAGCTGCTCTGAGGATAGACTTTGTCAAAGTGGAACTTCCTCCTGCTCCCCCTCTGAACCACCACCACCTCCTGGTCGTCGGTCTTCTCCAGACAGGAGCTGGAGGTCGGGCTCTTCCTGCAGCGGCAGAACACCCGGATGTTTCCCTGCAGCTCCAGCAGCTTGTTGTAAAGGCTCTTCCTCTCCACCGCCTCCCTCCTGTAGAGCGACCGCAGCTCCTCCACCTCCCCGGCCGCCTCCTGCTCCACCTGGGCCAGCTTCCCCACGGCGCCCTTCAGCTGCTCCAGCTGGTTCTTCATGTCGGTCATGGCCTGGCCGACCGTGGACCGGAGCTGCTTGTTGGAGACGTTGAGCTCGCGGGTCAGACCGCTCACCTGCCGCAGCTGGCCGGGGTCCACGGCGGGTTTGGTGACGGTTCTGGCGGGCGGGACGGCAGGAGCCCGGCGGTTCAGGAGAGACCTGATCTTCTCTCGGGCCTCCTGCTGGTCGGCCTCCAGCTCGGCCAGCTTCTGGTTCAGGTGCTGGACCACGTCCGTCAGGTAGCGGACCTCCCTCGCCAGGTAGCTGCTCCTCTGGAAGAGGTTGTCCACCTCCTTCTCTTTGGTCTGGAGCTTCAGCCTCAGATCCTCGATGACCCGGTCCCGCTCCAGGAGGGCTCTGCTGGGTCAAGGTCACATGTTACTTCCATGACAGGAACACAGGGAGGATCACAGTCTAAAGGTCTGAATCCTGCATGCGCTGCACACCTGAAGGAGTTGAGGTCAGCGTAGTCGTGGTCTCCGCTGGGAGACGCCTGCAGGAGGATTTCTCCGAACATGGTGAGGTAGACGGAGGCGACCTCGTCAGGGTCGTAGTTACACTGTCTGAGCGCCGCGGTGATCTCCTTCTGGTCCACCAGGCCCGGCAGGGTGGACTGGGACGGAAAGCCAGACACACATCAATCACACCTTCATCCACCCAATGACGCTCAGACACTCAGAGCAGCATCACAGTCTTCCTCACCATGACTCTCTGCACTCGAGCTTTGACGAACTCCACGTTTATCTCCCACTGCAGCGGCAGCAGCAGCCAGACGCCCGACTGAGGATCCCAGAACCTGCAGACGTTCACCCTCTCCTGGAGAAACACCACGACACCGCTGGAGGAAAGTTTCACATTTCACACACTGTTCGTATCCGAGCTGATCTCCAGCCTCGTCTCTCACCTCGAACATGTAGGTCATGACGGTCCCTTTGCCCTGGATGTAGACGCTGCCGGTGCGGTCGTCCTCCCTGACCGCCGGCTGGCTGCTGGCCGCCGTCTGCAGCTGACCGGAGCCCTGAGGGAGAAACCGCAGCTTTCATCCTGCAGCATGTTCTGCATGTACACTAACACACTCTGCACATGTCCCCCTCTTATGGAAGCTCCTGCTCTGTGGTTCATCATGTGCTGTAAAGTCTCAGACCTCAGTGCTGGCGGTGATGAAGCGTCCCTGGTTGTTCCACTCCTTTGGAAACGGCTGCAGGTTCTGGAAGAGACAGAGAAACCGAAGAGGAGCCGCGAGTTTCAAAAGTTTCAAACCGGGTCTGTTTGTGTCACGTTTGTTACCTGCGACTCGTCGACGTAAACTCTGTTGCCATGGTGATTGAAGCAGCTGTAGAGCGTCCCGTTGTTGTGGAGGAAACTCTCAAAGTCCAGAGAAACTTCTTCACCTTCTGTCCCGGTTTCCTGAGAGCGCAGCGCGCGGCACGGACACAGGTGAGGTCAATACAACATTTGACCTTCTACCAGCCACTGATGTCAAAAGCTTTAGTGCAGAGATATAAAAACATTGCATCATGGAAGTTCACACGATGAGCAAGTGATAATATACTGAAATAAAAGACGTCTGTCTCTCAAATCCAATTCATACATGTGTTTAAATCTGTTAGTGACACTTCTCCATCCACCTGACAGGTGTGGCATATCAAGATGCTGATTACACACCCGGGCTGGTCACAATAAAAGCCTACTCGAAAATATGGAGTTTTATTTTGAAAAAAAAAAGATGAATTTCTCATGAATCGGGCAACAGATGTGCCTTTTTCTGATAAATGTCTGTTTTTCAAAATAAAACTCGATGAAAAATGAAAAATCACGTTTTTATCTCTCACTTTTATCCCTTGTGTCTTTAATCCAAACTGTGATTAACGCGTCACACGAGCTGTTTCTGTGTTGTGTGTCTCTTGTGTTTTGTTGTGCAGCACTTTGCTCAACACTGGTTGTTTTAACCTGCTTTAAAAAATAAACTTGATTTGAGTTGATATTAAACAGCTGATTCACAGAAACAGTAACAGTGACGTCATGTGATGTGGAACATGTCAGATACATTATTAATGTGTGAGTCAATATTTTAAACGGCAGCTCACAGTCACAGCTGGACTCAGGACGGTGTGAGTGGTTCTTTCTTCTTCTCCTTCTTCTTCTTCTTCCTCCTTCGGTTGCGTGTAGCTCTCCTCGCTCTTTAGAGACCGGACCTCCATCATGTGACTGTCCGGCTTCTCCTCCTCCGCCTGAGAACACACCACACACAGCAGCTCCTTCAGCTCAGACTCTGGTTCCACTGCGGCCTGTAATACATGAGATGAACACGTACCTGCAGCGTGTCATCGCTCCGTCCCACAGGTGTGGGGGGTCGGGCGGGTTCAGGCCCGGCCTCCCCGGGTTCCAGCCTCTCCGGCCGGGTTCCTTCATTGACCGACGCCCCGCTGCCCATCCCGACACCCGCAGACAGACACAGGAAGATCCAGAATGAGAGAGGGAGAGAGAGAGGGAGAGAGGGAGGGGGAGAGAGAGAGAGAGAGAGGTGGTCAGGTGAGAACAGGTGCAATCTGACACACCTGTCCGCCGCCCAGAGGCTTAGTTACAGTAAGCTTCCTGTTACCTGCAGGTGGGGGGAGCTGCGCCTCACCAAAATAAAGTTTTAGATTTTATAGATAAAGTTCAAAGATTAAAAGCAGATGTTGTGATGTTAATGACGCAGGTGTAAATAAAGTTGAATGTTTCTCACTGATTTGCTGCTGCTCACCTGTCCGGTGTTTTCAGCCTCATATTTGTGCTTTTATGTATGATTTTTTTTATTTACATATAAACTACACTCTATGTCATAATGAACTTTCCAATAATTCTATAAATAATTTCATATTAAAAGGAATAAATTCAGTGAAGATAATCCATGTCCTTATTTCAAAAGGAAATCCTACTGTGCACAAATACTTTTAACACAAATAATAAAGATAATAAACTTGATAATATCATTTGTAACCTCTGGGCTCCGGGTGTCTCTGCAGGGAGAATCCTGTCTGTGAGATCCAGACCAACCTCCAGCAGCAGCTCTCCCGCTGGCTGCACCGCCACAGCCCGTCAGCAGAGGGCGGCAGCATCCCGCTGACAGGACGGAAGGCAGCGCGTTAATGCAGAGTAAAACTGTACACACACACACACACACACACACACACACACACACACACACACACACACACAGCACACACACACACACAGCTAAAAGTCTGACAGACACATTGATGTGAAATTCACTCCACATTTGATTTTAACGACCCATGACCTTCCCTCTCGCGCCTCCCGCAGCTGCTCAGACTTGATACATTTTTAACCACTACAGCTGAAACCAGATAGATAATCAATAACCCGTGTCACACAGATATAAGAGGCCGTGTGAGGTGGAGGCGTGTTGTTTGAGTTTCTGCTGAGATGATGAAATAATAAAATCCTGGTGTGCACGTGCTGTTTTTGTACTGCTAAGTCACTCTTTTGACTAAAGGGCCACTTATTAGCTTTTTCTGGGCTTTTCAGCTGCATCTCACGGCCTTCCTCGGGTGATAGAGTTTGCTTGGTTGTATGCAGCAAAGTCATGAGCCCACGTTTGAACAGACAAGGGTGAATTTCCCTCCACTCTCAGTATACACAGCTCCAGACCTTGCACAACCCCAGTGTATCGTTTTCCATTTCATATTGGGGGTGTGATGGATATTTCAGCCTGTAGGGGGCAGCACCAGGGTGTTAAACTGTTAGTCTTGTTAAAAATGTATTAAACGCTTATTAAAGCTGTTTTATTTGCGGCTTCACTCTCTGTGTGTCTGACAGCTCTTTCCTGCTGCGCACAGGAGGTCTGAAGGTCTCAGGCTCGTCCTGACATGTGGATCCAGAACAGACTGAAGTATGAGCAGCTGGTGAAACCTGGCAGATGTGTAGTGTCCCAGTCTGTCTGTGCCACAGAGCAGTAAGATCCCCCCCTGATTGCCCCCTTTTAAAAACAGGGGGCGGCATTATTTTTTTCTTCCTGGAGGAGCTGCTGGCGGCTCTGGTCGGACGTCAGGAGAATAACTCAGTCTGCATCGGCTCGGCCAAATCAGAAATGACACACAATGAAAGAGGAAAATGAGACGAGTTCCCCGGGGAACAATCAGTAAAATGACTCTCTATTCACAGGAGGATATTGACTGAGTCAGACCGCACTCTCACAGCTTTCTGCTGCTTTTTATCTGAACTGTCTCAGAACATCTGCTGCTTTCTCTGGTGTTCTGTCTGTCTGTCTGATCGTCTGTCTCTCTGTCTCTCTGTCTCTGGTTCAGTGTCTCTCTGCCAAGTGTCGGATTAATCCAGGTTTGGCATCCACAACTCTGCCTGGACAGGTGGTGCATCACTCATCAGCTGATCTCCAACAGACCTTATTAAAGTGTTGTTTGAGATCAGGATCATACAGCAGCACGGCCTCCCCGACGCCTCAGTTCGAAGAACCGAACATATAAAACACATCGTGTGTAGGTTTTTCAGTTTTCCATGACTCAGTAGATCAAAGATGTGTTTGATTATCATATGAGAATGTGAAATTGGATTTTTGCTGAGGTTCAGGGGGCTGAACAGTTAGAGTGTGATGTAGAGTGGTTTGTTTTTAATAAACCAAAGCTCTCAGGGAGGTAATTTTATGCACAAAAATAAATGATGGGAACCATTTCTTGGATCACTGGAGTTTAAACTGGAAAGCAGCAATTTAGTGCGGAGGCCCATTACTGCCAGGAAAAGAAAAAAAAAAAAGATGATAAAATATTCTACTCAAATCACAATTATGGGACAGTAAGAAAACTCTCATCTCATAAGTGT